GGACTCTGAAAAACAAACTGAGGGTTCTAGAGGTGAGGGGGGGGGGAGGATGGGTTAGCCTGGTGGTGGGTATTGAGGAGGGCACATTCTGCATGGGTGTTATGCACAAACAATGAATCATGGAACACTACATCTAAAACTAATGATGTATGGGGATTAACATAAGAATAAAAAAAAAAAAATAATAAGAACCAGAAATTAGCATCATGGATGGCAGCGTAATGCTGAAGGTTAATCACAGGCTCAGAAAAATTTCTCCTATTTTCGCAACTCTTTCAACCTTCTAGAAAGAAAATAGATAAAATTTAACAGCCACCAGACAAGCATGACACTGCACCTATTGAGGGACAGATAGGCTGTCTTTGCTTGTGGTCTTGAAAATTTTGTGTGGTTCTTTTCCTTAGTTCATGTCCTAAGTGCTATCATTCTGGATACTACTACTTTTTCTTCCTGAAACAACCTTATGAGGCAACTATCATTACCCGCATTTTAGAGGCAAAGAAACTGAGGCACAAAGAAGGACATAACTTGCCAAGGTCACATGGCTCGTAAATAGCAGAGTGGGGGCTTAAACCTATGGTTTCTGAGCCTAGAATCTAAATGCAGAGCTGCATTGGGTGTAGCTTTAAGGTCCAGGATAGGTCCTTTGACCTTGAGGGGCCGGTGGCTTCTCCCTATATACCAGAGACCCTTACTGCTGCAGGGCTTTCAAGGTGACCTAAGGTTTTGATATCACTCATAATGCTCTTAGGTAATGTGGTCGGGCCACAGGGTCAAAAAGAATTGATCACAGTATGGTGTCATCACAAAATCCAAACAGCTTGTGATCACAGCATTAGGGTTTGAAGGTGAAGACAAGGTTTGGGGAATATATGGCCACCCGTAAGGGTCTCTGCTGGCTAAAGGAGAACTTTCAGCCTGCCCACAAGGCTCTCAATAAGCAGGAGACATTTAGACTAAGCTCAGACAACTTTTACCTTTGTTTCTAGATTCCTTCTGCATCCAGAGTCTTTTCTCATCCATACCCACCCCCCCACTGTCAGCTTCTTTCTGCCTTCTCTTAGAAGGGAGGATGGCACAGTGGTTAACAGCAGAGGCTTTGGAGACACCTAGATTGGATCTGAATCTTGCCGTGTATCTGGGGCATGTTACTTAAGCACGTTTAGTCTCAGTTCCTACAGCTGGAAAATGGGAGAAGTAATCATACCTTCCTCATACAGTTGTGCCATTAAAATTTGCCGGCGTCCAAAGACACGCATAGGAGCATTCACAGCAGCTTTATTCATCGTAAAGCTGGAACAGCTGGGAACGGCCCAGATGCCCAGCACTAGAATAAAGATGTTCTGATCTCTTTGTACAGCAGACCATTGCTGCACAACAAGAGAAAACAGCTGCTGTTATACTCGGCATGGATGAGTGTCACAGGTGTTATGTTGGGTGAAGCTCTAGAACAGGTGAACCTCCTATACAGTGATAGAAACACGAGAGTGGCTGCCTGTAGGAGAGCACGGACTTGAAAGGGTAGGAGGGAGGCTTCTAGTTTGGGGTCTGTACTTATATTCACTCTGGGTGGTGATGGCATGGCTGTGTACATGGGGACACTTTCACTGAGTTCTACACTTCGGATGTATGCACTTGACTGTATGAAAATTATATCTCAAAAAGAAAAAAACATTTAGCATAATACCTGTTGTAAAGAGGACCCTCAGAAAACATTCTTTCCTGCCCTCATGTGTTTGTGAACCTCACTTTTTGTGAGATGAGCCATTTCAGCACGAGAAGACTGACAGATATAATTTGTTTCCTGGGAAGTTATGTTCCAAGACTAGCCGGGTCCTCACTGTCCAGACAAGGGCTGCTTGAAACCCTTTTTCCTCGGGTGGATCTTTTTCTTCCCTGCCCTCTCTCATCCTCTCCTCGGTTAATGCACATCTCTTACAGGCTATGCGGTGACGGCCGGCTCCTTCTCTCGCCCGTCCACCACCGATGTGGTAGGAGGTGCCCCCCAGGACGAAGGCATCGGGAAGGTGAGGAGAAAAGTCTGTGGAATAGCACGGGGTCAGACACCAAGGGCGGGTGTGCTGCCCCTGGTGTAGAGGTTGGTCATTGATTTGATCTGAACATTCTCCTGGGGGGCTGGTGGGTAAATGATGAAGTAAGGAGGAGTCTCCCGTCAGCCTCCTTCCAACCACTTTTGAGAGCGTACTTTAAAGCGTAATCAGAGAGTGAGTGCTACTCCCAGACCTCTCCATTCTCTGCACGTTCTCTGTGCTCAGCAGCTGACTCTGTGTGATACTGTAAAGACTGACTCTTGGCATCATGGCGTCCTCCAAAGGAATGGTGTCCGGCACTATCCAGATTTAAATTCTCCACTCTGCCAAGCCCTTCCCAATTTTGACTTGGACTTAATAGAGCCAGGTCTAGTCCCAGGTATCTTTAGGACTTTATTTATCTTGGGGCCTACAGTTTCATATTTACTTCCCCAGTGTTTTAGAGTCAAGACTGGTTCAGTCCAGTGGCTGAACTAGGGATATATAGGTCAGTTTTCCTAAAGGATCTGCCCAGAGTATAGAAAATACCCCATGGATCTAGGGCTTTCTGGTCCCTCTAGGAATTGTGGCCTCTATGGGGCCAAGAGTATGAAGAACTGTGCTTGCTGATTCCTTAGCTCCAGGGTATGGGAAATCTAGATTGGGTAGGTCTGCTTGAGTCAGGAACCTGCATTTTTAACTCCATAGGTTCTCTGATAGAAAACTCTGAACAAGGGAATGATCTCTGGACCCGAGCCCATGGGGTGGACCTTGGATAGAGTACGGCCATATCTCCAGGGGCTCAGCAAAGTGGGGTCTGAATTTTAGAGAGGCCTAGATGAGCCAAAACCAGTGTTCATTGGAGCCTTGAGCCAGCATGTCAGTGGACTGGACTTGACTGGTACATCATGAAGGTCATTTCCTTGGATCCTCCTGGACAGGAGTTAGGACTCTCAACTCTCGTTTCTGGAATCTGTGCCTCCCTCCCTGCTAACGCTGGTGCGAGGGAGAAAGGATCTCGGGGAATGAAACCAGATAAAAACGCAGGGCACTGAGCCAGGGGAGGCATGCAGATGAACTCTGATAACGTTAGGAAAGAGGTGGGTCCTTCAGGGTCACATGAATTCCTCTACATGGTAGAGGGAAGAAGCACCGAGAGCTGTCCCCACGCTGATAATGTCATCCAGGAAAGAAGCTGCGTGCGTGTGACCAGGCTTCTCTGTAGCGTTGGTAACAGCGCCTGCCTCCCAGCTCACAGCCGTGCAGATGCCTCAGTGCTTCCTTTTCTCACCAGCCTCACAAACTTTGATCTGATTGCATTGTGTTCTCTGCAGATGCTTGTGATAGTCTTAAGACAGCCAGGTCTTAGGATGAGAACAGTATTTATAACTGATAGAACCAGACAGAGAATCCTGGATTCAGCTAACCACAAAGAACCTGAAAATGCTTCTTTCAGTTGGATCATGTGAGAGGTGCTGGGGAAACTGGTCGTAGTTGACAAAGTTGCCGACTGTCCCATTCCCGGGGACCCTAGACTAGACCTCTGGCCTGAAGGATTATTCTTTTCTGGTGTCAGGGCACAAACACATTCTCACTAGGGTGGCGGCTTTTTACCCCACAGGAGGGTTCCCTACCCTGGTTCTCATGGGACGCTGTTCCTATAAGATGCAACTTAGAAAAGAACTCCCGTAGTCCTGCCATTTGGGAAGTTCTACATCAGTGATCCTCTTTGTGGTAGAGATGCGTGGTGCCTCGGGATTGAAGGACACTCGTTTTTGCAGAGTTGATTAAGTGCAGGGAACCTCATTAGCCAGCTTAAGTACACCTGCCATGTGCCTGATTGGCCTTAATTTAAGTAGGACTCTCAGGAGGATGCTGGTTAATATCTTTGGTCATGGCTTCTATCTTAACCAGATTTTTTTTTTCCTTCCATAGGTTTATATTTTTAGAGCTGATCGAAGATCAGGCACCTTAATTAAGATTTTTCAGGCATCAGGTAAAAAGGTGAGATTCTGGGTACTGGTGTCTTTTTGCTTGTGAGATGTCATCCTGTGGGAATCGGTTCACTTTTTAGAAAATCAGTGTAGAGGCCCTACCTATGCCCTAAGTTTGTATGGCGGCCCTGCATGCAGTTGCCTTAACCTCCCCAGCATTGTGTGTAACCTATGGATTGTGGAATTCATGCTCATGGTAGGACACAGGTAGCAAGATGAGTTTGGACACAACCAAGTTACATCACAGAGTTCAAAAAGGATTTCCATAGTTCAGATAGTCATCGGAATTACAACTTGCTGTGTGTCTGCCTTTTTTTTACCTCTCTGACCTTCCATCTGCCTTTCTCTTATACCTACACATCAACAGCCCAGAGAGATCAGACACAGTTAAGTATGGTAGCAAACCCATGACATCTAACTGAGTAGGCATGCAGGCAAATGGCTCTCACTCTCCCTGCGTCTCTGGCCCAGCGCTGCCCCTCCTCCTGTCATCCTGAGCCCCCCATTCAAGAACCTTGAAATAGAAATAGCTTGGGATGGCTGCCTTGGAATTAGTCCCGGCCAAGGTTTATCTGCATGCGTTGTCTTGTCTTTGTCCTGGCCCTAATGCTCTCTCCGTTTCCATTAGGCTGCGCCATAGTCTGAGATGAAGGTAGGTAGAGAGTCCCTGTATTAATAAGCCACGTTTTTCATGGGCTTGTTAGTCCTGCACACCTTAGCGTGGCTCAGACCAGCAGGATCCTTTAGGGAGATTGGCTGCTCTCTGGGGACACACATTTAGGCTGGGAGGCCAGGGGTAATTTGGAGGCTTGCCTTGGTGTGGAGGCCTTAGTGAGCTCTGGGAAGAAGCACAGGATTCTGGGACTTGGGAGGGAGATTCCAGGAGATGGGAGAATGTGGAAGGTGGTTTTACCTACCATCACTCTAAGAAAAGGGGAGAAAACAGTTGTTTTCTTTGTGGGTAGGCCACGTGCCCCAGCCCAGTTCAGGTCCTGCCGGGGGTTAGACCTGCTCTACAAAAGCCTGGCACCATTACACACTGTTCTGATGGTGCATATTCTCATTTCACCAAATCCTACTCACAAGTAGAATTATTTTTTTTCAATTTTAACGACCTTAATGTGTGTACTTAGTAGAGAATTGTCATAATCTTTTCAATAAAAAAAATGCATCACCAAATGAGTTTTGCAAAGTTTTCCCTGAGAACAGCTCTGCATTCCCCTGGGAACTGCACTGGCCTTTGTTATTTTAACATTTCCAAAACCCCAAAGCAGCCACACTGGAAAAGGACTGTGAGCAATTCTACAAAAAAGGTTTTCCAAGCACCCCTGACAGACAAGAAATAACACAACACCATTTGTGATAGAGCCCTAGAGCAAGGAGGGTGTGAATGCTCTTAAGCCTAACATTTTAGGTCTTTCTTACAAAAAAATAATAAATGGGTGAGTGTGTCTACTCTGGGAAACCCAGACCCCTACCCCCTCCCCTTCAAACATACCTGGGTTTGACAGCACAAAATGAAAGGAGTCTCCCCCACCCCCCCGACCCAGCTTTATTGAGATATAATTGACATATAGCATTGGGTGAGCTTAAGGTGTTCAATGTGATGATTTGGTCCATGCATATATGGTGAACTCACATCCATCACCTCATGTAACTACTGTTTAAAGACTCTGAAGTGATGTGTGGAGAAGGAGCACACCTGTCACCCAGTTTTCAGAGTTTCTTCATATTCATTTCCACCTGTGTGTCTCCTCGCCTGCTGCCTTTATCTGCCCCCCGCCACTCCCCCCGCCCAGCTGCCTGTGCCCAGGGCAGGCCCAGTTAATGCCGGTCAACCTGGCGTAATTAACAGCCTATAATTGTGCCCCCTCCTTCTCAAAAACCTCCCAGGGCAGATGACAACTTACACAGCCACCCATCTGTGACAGGTTGCAGTCAGGTTTGGGGCAACAGATGTAAGACGGGGGCGCCTGGGTGGCTCAGATGGTTAAGCATCTGCCTTTGGCTCAGGCCATAATCTCCAGGTCCTGGGATCAAGCCCTTTGTCGGGCTCCCAGCTTGGCAGGGAGTCTGCTTCTTCCTCTCCCTCGGCCGCTCCCCCTGCTTCCTTGCTTGTGCTCTCTCTGTCTCTCTCTCTCAAATGAATAAAATCTTAAAGAAAAAAAAAGAGTGGGTGGAGGGAGAAGTAAACATTTGAGAAGCCACTTGTGCACACTTCCTGAGGATTTCACGACATGGAGTCCCAGGGCAGACTGGCTTGCGTATCTGCTTGAATGTCCTTGTGAGGTGTTGGGGCTCCCCGGGAGGGGACTGGAGGGCCAGGTGTTTCACCCACCAGCTCTGTGACCATGCCACTTCCTCACTTTGCACCATCCTAGCTAGAGTCATTCCTTCCTTGTGTCACTCACTCTTGCCCTCCTGTGTCTCTGGCTTCTAGCTTTACTCCCATGATCAGAGCTCTGATTTTAAAAAAGACCATTACTTTCTGTATACATCTTATTCTGCTTTTTGCAAGAAGAAATGGGAAATTCTAGCCTCTCTGACTTCTGCATTATTTCAAAGGGAAAGGACATGACCCCAGGCTTTCAAAGGATGCCTGTAGCTTTACCCCTGTGTCTGGAGCCACACACATAGGGGAGGGTTCTGACTCAGTCGACCACTGGTCCACTTCTGCTTTTGTTTGGCCAGAATTTGTTCGGGTAGTCCTGTCTCCTGGCCTTACCATAAGAAAAACAAAACAACAAAACCCCAAAGTTCCAGTTTTTAGTGGTTGACATCCTTCATATAGTACATCTAAGAAATCATCAATATGTGCACAATCCAGATGTTAATACAGTCACAGGTCCCTGCATTTCCAGGCTGATGGGAGAACTCTGATCAAGGAACACCAGCCCCCCCGACCCCTGCACACACAAAGCATGTTATTGCCACATATAGGAGTTTTATTGCGTTAATAGGGTATCTGAAGTGTTTGTATGTCAAAACTTAGATAGGAAACTTGACGTTCAGGGATTTCTGATTGAACACCAATGAAGATGCCAAGTTAAATAGCCCATTGGGCTAAAACAAATAGTTCCCCTGGGGCTCAGCCAGAGAGAACAGCCAGCAACTTTGGTCCTCGGGGCCTTGTGTGGGTCTCACCAGCTTGTTTGTTTGTTTGTTTTACTAAAGTCCAGATAGATCGGCAAGGCCACTGAGTTAGTGACTGGCAACTTGGTCTCTGCTATGAATCCAAGCGTTGCCTACACCCTTCTCCTTTGGGAATGGGTGTTGGCAGGGCGGGGTGGGTTGAGCACAAGTAGCGTGGGACTGGGGAGGGGCTCCTGTGCCCGGGTTCACTGCAGGAAATGGACCAGAGTGCCCTCCACTGCTCTCACACTCCCTGGGGCAGCTGCCAGCAAACTCCAGCTCCGAAAGAAAACGCTTGTTCCCATCAGCAGAACCACAACCCTTTTATCTGAAAACATTTATTTTAAAAGAATGGTCTTTTTTTTTTTCTTCTTTCCAACAGAGGTTGCAAACTGGCAGCCTTTGGGAAGGATGCAGCCCATAAAACTTTTTGTTTGGCCTGCCCACTATGTTTGTTTCTTCTTTTTTATTATGAACGAGTTGCCCTGCATTTTAGAAAGAGGCACCTCAAATAAAATTTTAGAATTTTGGCTTCTCTTGAAAAATGGGAAGGTTGATCTTCTCTGGGTCAGCCTCCCTCATGGCAGCAGTTGACTGCCGCTGGGTAGGAGCAGCTCTAGTAGCTGGCTGTGTGGGCCCCAGTTTGCCACAGGCCCTACCACTCCCTATTGCCTGTTAGACACTGAAGTCAGGCGTCACTTACCACCTGTGAGCATACTTGCATTGTTACTTGTTTTTTCTTATACCTCTTCTATCCCCTGCCTGGATCCCATTGCCATTTGGGTTTGAGACCTCTGGTTTACGATAATAGGCATTGGATTAAGCTCTGACTCAAGAGGAGCTAGTGGAACCTGGCTGTGCTCCCTTATCCATTACATGGTCTTAGGAGCTGTACCTTCTCCTGTCACTTGAGTTCAGGCCTTTCTGGTTGGCTTTAGCTCTGCGCAGGCCCGGGAGAGGGTAATCTATTTCCCCATGTAGCATTTCTTTTCATGCTTGCCTTGTATTATGAAATTTCATATTCCTACTTGGTTAGCCCTGTCAAATGTCTGTTATAGGAGGCTCTTTTACTATGGTTGTAACCTGTTTTGTAACCCCAGCTTGCATTTTTAAAAACCGTACCTTATTCTCCTGGAATTGGTCCACTTGTTTTCCCTTGGTAGGGCTCCAAGGAGGGAGACTCTGAGCCAGTTAGCTTCGGTCTCATGTGGACGGGGGCCCAGCATCGTTGCTGGGAGCCAGGGAAGTCAGGCATTTCACCACTGGCCCAGGCCTTCTGGCTTATGGGGCAGCACAGCCATCACAACCTCTGAGGGGTTTGGGGGCAAGAGTTTCTAAAGCAGTGGGCTAGAGGAAAGCGAGGGCCTCCTGTGTGAGGGCAGACACTGAACGCTTTGTTGCAACTCGACTTGGTTGCAGATGGGCTCTTACTTCGGCTCCTCCTTATGTGCAGTTGACCTGAACGCAGACGGCCTCTCTGACCTGCTTGTGGGGGCCCCCATGTTCTCTGAGATCAGGGATGAGGGGCAGGTCACCGTCTACATCAACAGAGGAAATGTGAGTACACTGCTGGGCACCAGGTGGATGGGTGTGGGAGAGGGACATCTGTCCAGCGAGGAGTGACCGAGCACACTGCTGGGCCGTGCGCTGGGCCCCATGACCCAGAGGAGGTGAAAAGACTTGCTTCCTACCTTCAGAAACCTCAATATTCCGTTAATGGAAAGCCGGACACGGTGTTATCACTGCAGACATATAGGGATTGAGAAAAATCGTAATGTGTTTGATTTTGAGTGTTTATTCTGTACCTGAAACTATTCCGCCTGTTTTTTGTAAATGATTTCCATGTAATGTGCACAGAGTATCAGGGGTCTCCATTTTTCAGATAAAAAACGAGGCCCGCGGCACACAGCTAGCAGCAGTGGGCTAGAATTTGAACCAGGCCAGCTGGCTCCCTGGGAGTATGTGCACACGAGCCCAGGGCAGCCGAGCAGCCTCCTAGAGGGCACAGTGGCTGGGGAGAATCTTGAAGGACTAGGAGCTAGGCAGACAGGCAGGGGTGGGCTAGCAGCTGGGCAGGCGGGTTGAGGCCTGGGGCAGCAGGACCACTTAGTTCTGGGGGTTGGGTGGGGGCCAGTGCAGTGGCCAAGGGCCGTGATCACGATGTCCCTTACCCTGCAGAACCATGGAAGGGGTGTGATGGCATCAGAAAGATGCTTCTGCCTCTCTGCAGCCGAGTAGAGGGCTGGGGGGACAGGGACGGGAGCAATGCATCAGTGAGGCGGGAAACCGATGAGAAAACACAATCTTTTCAGCATCTAGAATTAAGAATGTCCAACAAGAGAGTTAAATGCATCAATTTTGTCACCGAACATAAGAAAATGCTTACAAGGTAATCATTGAAAAGCAGGATAAAAACTGCCTATACAAAGAACCTTTAAAAATATACAAAATACGTAGAGAATGTTCATAACAGATCTTTGTGGATGGAAAGGCTTGGGTAGATTTTTAGTTTTATCTTTATCCAAAGAGCAAGAATGTAATACTTTCTAGTTAAAAAAAAAAAAAAAAAGTGTACTTTTAAGCAGTGACAAAGATGCTAGTTATCCTAGTTGGATAACATTCAATTGGAGGGGGCAGTGGTGTTTAACTATAGGTGGGCAGATGTCACAAAGAAAGGAAGCCATTTGAAGAGAAGTCAGGGAATGTTAGAGCCTTGGGCTTTCTTGGATGCTTGCAAACTCTTTGAGAAAGTGGATCTAAAACCTGGGAATGAACGTACTTCCTGGGACCTGTTGCAGTGATGCCTGGCACTTGCATCCCCATTGAAATTCCAGGAAGAGGGCCAGGCAGGTGTGGGGAGAAATGAGGTAGTCATATGGAGATGAGAACAGCTACATTCCGTGGCCACCAGCTACTATATTTGTAGGAGAATGAAACATTCGTGTAGGTATGAACTTGTCAGGTAGTAAGGAGAACAGTGCAATAGCTCGACAGTGTGTCTAAATCAGGGTGTGGAATCTTGGAGAAGGAGAATTCCCCCAGACACATTGTGCCCACACACTCCAACCTCCAACCAATGTATCTTAATGCCATGTGGCTACCCTGAGTACCTGGACATTATATCTTTTGGGCCTCACCCTGTCTGGTTGATGATGATGAAGTGGTGCAGAGGAGTGGAAACATGGTGACTTTGGAGATAGATGGACCTGGACCTTGTTTTTTTTCCACTTACTAGCCTGTGTGATGTGGACAAATAGCTTAAAATTAGTGGCTCAGTTTCCTCATCTATAAAACGGGGAGAATCATAAGGTCCAATCTAAAGCCAGACACTCCCTGGGATGGCTTGTGGGTGTGCAGTGGGTCCAGAGTACCTCTACACTGGGGCAGGTTTTGACATTCTTATGCCTCAAAATCTTAGATTGTATTTTAATACTCTGATACTGACATGTCAGTGATTTGGGGTAGAATGGGTATCCTCAGATGGCTTTTACTTCCACCATACACCATTGACCCCTTCCCTCTGTTGGGTGGTGTTTGCTCAAGAAATCCAAATCTGAGCCCCACGATAATGGGCACAGGTGTGTGTGTCCCCACCCCTTCCCTGGCCAAGAACGCTGGTGTTGGGTTTTCTGAACCATGACTCTGTCAAGATTACTGATCACACGCACCTTGCAAAGCAGCTTTATAAACTTGTATTAAATGGGACAGGAAAGAAAAAGTAGAAATATGCATGCCCACATAAAACAGCTTTGGGGAACAAAAGGTAAGGGCAGCTAAGAGGATTTTGTGGCGACAGGTATGTAGGTGGGTAGGTTTGTGGAGTGTCAGGACAAGGGAGAGGTGGAGTCCTTGGCCAACCTGAGAGTCCTCTTCCCTCTAAAAGGCATCTCAGGCTGTGGGAGACCCTCCTGCTGCACAGGTGAAAGGGACTTATTTTGCCACCAGGAGAGAGAAGCTTGGGTGCCCGTGATTCTGCCCAGGTGTTTCCTGTCGATGGATGTGCTCCCGGGGTGGCATTCGGAGCTTTGGTTTTATTGGGGGTTGTTTTGGTTCTGGTTTTGTTTTGTTTTCCATTTTTTCCTCCATCCTGTTTCCCAGGGAGCCCTCGAGGAGCAGCTGGCCCTGAGTGGTGATGGCGCCTACAACGCACACTTTGGGGAGAGCATCGCCAGCCTGGGCGACCTTGATGATGACGGGTTCCCAGGTCAGTGAGCTCGCACCGCCCTCTGGCTTCGCCCCGGCATGAGGTGCTCCTGGATTTGCCTCCCGCTTGGAAGGCCCCTGCAGGGAGGGGTGCCCTTAGAGAAGATGTTCTCTGTGCAGACACTCAGGGCTGGGCTCTGAGCCCACTGCGCTTCTGCTTCCACGTGGTACCTTCTCAGCAGTCCCGAGGTCATGGCTACCATGTGAGGGAACCTAGGGCTGGGCCACTGGGGCTTCTTGTTGCAGATGTGTTTGAACTGGCTTCCTCGTGTCTGAGCCTCTAAGGTTCTACCACGTGGTTAGTACAATGAGTGAGGAGGGACTTAGTCTCAGCCCCGAGAGGGACAGCATGGGGGTGGACTTGAATATACCCCTGCTGAGAGGGTAGGGCTGTGTGTACCTGATGCCAAGTTCTGTCTGGACTGCAGATTCCTTCCCAGTCTCTTGGCTCCTCGCTCTGGTCTGTTCAGTGCCCCCTCCACTTACTGTATATGCAGCAGACGGACATCAGGACCTGTGGGAGCCACATCACTAGGGAGACAGCTGAGGTGGAGGACAGGCTGGGGGGCAGCTCTTGCCTCAGGCCAGATATCCAGGCTCCTTTGAAACCCTCACACCCCTGGCCAGAGAGAATCCCGGCTTGAGGTCGTGTGAGAATGTGCCCCTCACCCTTGACCTCACTTCTGCAAACGCATGACTTTTGTTAGAAGCAAAGGGAATAAAGTCAGGAAGATCTCAGCTTTGTTCCAGGGGCTGTCAGTTTGTGAGGGTAACGATGTTTTTTTGGGAAGTGAATGCCATTTTATTTAAGTCCCTTCTCCAGGAACAGAGTCGTCTTTCTCAGTTGTGCAATAACCATAGTTGACAGAATTCCCCTGACAGAAATTCGGGTGGGTGGTTTATGTTTGCCTTTCTTTTATTGGATGGGTCAGTGATTTTTTTCTGTGAGGATGAGGTAGGAAGTCTTCTGGAACCTAAACCCTTCTCAGCTTCAATAATTTTCTTTCTACCCCCCAGCCCTTTTTTTCCCTGCTAAGAGATTGTGTGTCTAGCTTAATGCCTGAACAACCAACGACCAAGAAATTTCTGGTATGGAGGGACCCAGCTGATGGCAGGAATTAGGAAAACTCCTTATATTACTCCATATGGCTCTCGAACCCATAGCTGTTTTTCTCCCCTCAGATGTGGCCATTGGCGCACCCAAGGAGGACGACTTCTCCGGGACCGTCTATATCTATCATGGTGACGCTGGCGGGATCGTCCCTCAGTACTCAATGGTAATTGCAGTGAGAACGACATGGTAACTGTCCATACATTCATCTGACAAACACATAGGGACCCTTTAGTCTGTACCACACCCTGGAGTACAGAGGAAAACACAACATGGTCTCTACGTTCAACCTTCCCGCCCTCCAGTGAAAGACAGAGACCATTGCTCACCATCAGGGAAGCATTCTGCCTGTGGAAGATTATATCCACACCCTTACCCACATTCAGAGTTATTTCTTGAAGAAGAAGAGGTTTTCTTTTTTTAGTTACTCCTTTGTCAACCATCTGTGCAGGGCAAAGGAATATGTTGTAAAATGTAATTTAGAGAGAAAACGGTCCACGGACCGTTGTTGTAATTGGTGTTGCAGTGAGGAGCTGGTCAAAGCTCTGGCCTTGAGCTCCAGACTTGGGAACGTGGAAGTGGTGAGTTTTGTTTTTTGCCATATCAGCTTGGTGTTCAATCTTGCTGATGGTCTCAAGCCCAGCCCATGGGAAAAAAGGAAGTCACTCTCTTGACAGAAGCATCATCAGGCTATTTGTGGATGTTTCTGTCTGGAGTGGCACAGGCCTGTGTCATTCTCCCAGTGAGTGGGTCAGTGACAGAAAGGGACTCAACACAAGTTGAGAAATTTCCAGTCAGCAAATATTGATCTGTTGAGCGCTTCTTATGTGCTTATCACTTCCTACCCATGCTTCTATTTCTCATCACGAAGAAGCTGGCCTCATATCTTGGTATCTGTAAGGAAACAGAACTTTCAACTGAGTCGTGTTCTTGTAAAATGTTCTAGAATTGTTCTCTAAAATCAAGTATTAGGAAAGTGTCCAAACCTGTTCATGTATTGAAGTCTCTAGGTAAGAAAGAGACTTTACAAGTGGATTTTAAGAGCCAGTACGTAAATGTAAGTTCAATTCATGCATTCATAATTGTTCTTCTTGCAGCAGATACAAGTGAACTGATTAGAGGTTGAGGGTTCGTTAGTGGCCAGCTTCCTGCGCCCTCTCTGCTGGGGCCAGCCCAGCTCAGTGACTCCCTCACGAGGCAGAGGGCAGAGAGGGGGGACCACTCTGCCCTCTTTTCTTTAGTCCTTGTCCTACTCCTGTGAGATGGTGACTTTATTATCTGCCTTGTCTTTATGAGGTGCCTCCTGCCCGGGGAGGGGACTCGGCTTGCCCAAGGTCTCTGGCTAATAAGTGGCAGTATGGCCCCTGAAACGTTCCCCTTCTGACTCCCAACCTTTTATTGTAACCACGTCCTCAACTCCACATTGGAGGAAGGAACACCCAGGGAGGCTCAGCTGGAAAACTTAGAAATATGGAAACTTACTTTGCTCTGAACCCCACATACTCCAAGGGGCATGGGTCTACCGGGACCATCTTCTTCTCATTAGTAATGAATAATGGTGACAGTAAGCACTTAGGTGACTCAGCCAATGTGGCAGGAGGAAGAGGGCTTTGGGCACAGGTTGGGGGCCACATCCGCATCAGGAGGGCTGCTGTGGTCTGAGTTAGGGACCCTCTTCACGATGTGATCAGCAGGAAGTCATCCAGGGAGCCCGGTCCTCCAGCAGCTGCCGGGGTCACTTTCCACGCATCCTCCTGGAAGCTTGTTCCCAGACCTTGGAAGCGAATCACACAGAGAGGCAACCTGTCAGAGACCCCCGCTTCCCCTCCTCCCGCGGCCCTCCAGTGTTTTGTTTTGTTGCTGGGTGGAATCCCCACAGAGAACTGCAGTACAGATTTTGTGGTTAGCATGGAGTGTCTCTAGTAGGAAGCAGGGATCAGCAGCTGGGTGCGTCCTGCCTCTGTCAGCATGCCGGTGGGCTCGTTAGCTTTGACAAAGAGAAGTGGTTTGGGGCGCTTTAAAAAAAAGAAAGAAAGAAAGAAAGAAAGAAAGAAAGAAAGAAAGAAAGAAACAACTATGTTTTTACTTTTCCAAGCTGGTGATATGTGTATGATAAGGTCAGTGATTTAAAAGGAAAAAAATAATCCTTTAACGACAGATTCTTCAGGGCTGGGGTCTGGACAGAGCGGGCATTGTGCGGGTGAACCAGAGGAAGAAATCAGAAACAGCTCTGGGCAAAGGAGTTGCTTTTCTTTGGCCCAGACTGGTATTATTTCTGCCGGATAAATTGTGAGATCAGGGCTGAAGTTCGTCCACATTACTCTTTAACTCATTCCTCTTTCTTGAGTTCATCATGAAAAGTGTTGATTTTAAGATCCTTGTGTGCCTTTCTCCATTTGAGAACCCCCTGGGCATGTCATGGCGGCCCCTGTGATCTTTCTCCTGCCATAAGGACACTGCCTATAAACCTGGGCAAGCGGAGTTTTTCCAAGGCTCCTGGTTTTCATTTAGGGTTATTAGCACTGAGCAGACTTATCTTCCTGGCTTTATGGCCTAATGGCCTGCAGATGTCTGTGGGATAACTTAAGCCTGCATCGCCACCCCCAAATGGACCACCCCTTCACTCTTCCCCCTTGTCCCAGCCACACCAGAGCTTAGAAATGCCTCAAAATGGGGCTTTTAAGAAATAGACATACATACATGTTTGTTTAGACAGAGCCATGTGGGATGTGGAGCTCTGCATGTTAGCAAGAAACATTTCTTTAGTGTTTGCTACGGTGCTCTGATTTGTACTGTGAGGCTTGCACATTTCCTGGTGGATGGCTTAACTGAAGATGCCAAGTGGAAGGTTATTTGCAGTGATGGGCTCCTGGGAGGTGCTGGGGGGGAGGGGTTGTTCCCTGGTGTCTCCATCTGTAGATCCTGTGGAAACTCCCTCTCCCCACGCTCATGACTTCTCTGCAGGATGACTCAGTATGGAAAAGGATACAGAAGGAAAGTCCAAAGTGAGCCCCTGACTATCTGTAAACCTGGTTCCGATAGGGATTGTGCTGTACAGCATGAAAACAAAGCATTTTTCTTATCATCCACAGTGAGAGCATTGGGAGGTAAGCCTCCCCAAAGAGACTGTAAAAACAAAGGGAAGAAGGAGCAGGTCAGATCCCTGGGACTTTTCAGATTCAGGAAGTTTGATATCTTTTGAGAAACTGTGCTACGCAGATGTCGATGAAGGCCGCGTGTACAGTAAATAGTCCTGAACCAAGGCAGTGTGTGTTATATAGATTGAACTTCATGAAGAATAAAAGAACAGATGCCCCTTGGTGGTAGAGCTGTGAACTCTAACTGGTTGATTGGGGAGGAGGGTGGCTTCAGCTGATTTTTTTTTTTTTTTTTTAGGATTTCCTACAGATTATAGAAGGTTCAGGACCATGCAGCTCCGGATTTACTAGATAGGCCAGTCTCATCCTGTCTGTGAAACTCTGGAGCCCTATGAGATCTTCTGGTCAGCTTGACTGAGGAGAGGCGGTTTCCATGTGGCATCTTTTCCAGCTAGACATGCTCATTGCCTGTCCACCCAGGGAAAGACTCACGTGCACCTCCGAGGACAGGGGTGGTCCATGTTTAGTATTTGGGTAGAGAGAGCTAAGGAAAACATGTTCTTAGAATTTCAGCCAGCTCCACCTATGTGGAAATGAAACAGAACCGCTGTTGGAAATGGAAGTAAACATCTATTTTGAACTTCATGTGGCATGTCAAAACATTAGCATACTAGTCTGCGTGGGTTTTTCGTGAACACTGAGCTTGGAAAAATTTTTAGACAAGGACATGTAGCTAAGGCAAGTCACAATAATGGAGTGTGTGGTCTTCATCCGGGTGCTAAAAACCCCAGGATCAAATTAGGACCACAGTTTTCTCTTTCCACAGCTTCAGGACCGAGTGTCCAACGGAAGCTGCATAGAACAGTCATGGGTTCTTATTTACCACTCTGCTCCTATCCGGTGATTCAATTTCCCTATTATCTGTTTCAGAAACTGTCAGGCCGGAAGATAAGTCCAGTTCTGCGGATGTTTGGGCAGTCCATATCAGGGGGCATTGATATGGATGGAAATGGCTATCCTGGTAAGCTGTTTCTCTTTGAAGGCATATGAGATAAATGAAGATAAATGCTGAGGTAGTCATTTCCAGTCTGGTTAAGCAGTGGTGACATCTATTTAGGATGAGGAAAATTCCCACAATAGAAGGGGATGCTCTGCCTGGTACTTGATTTTAAGGTGTTGAAGTTTATTTTGGGGTTTTAGAATGATCTATTCTGAAGACTTTAAGCACCAAAAGGATGGATTGATTTCAAAAGAAACAAACAAACAAAAACAAAAAACCAGTGATTTCTATGGTGGCAGCTCTTTCTAATGAAGAAAAAAAAAAAGCACTGACCACATTGAAAATGATAGTGAAACCTCATGTTTTCCTCGATATTTAAGCATAGAGGCTTCTAACCCTTGAGAGGGGAAAAAGGATCTGGGCAGCACCTTTCCCACCTCCTAACCCCTGCAAGAGAATTGAAATATTTGGAGCAAAGAAGAAAACCATGCCCTCTTCCTGACGGACAAAGCAGACCTTCACCGTTCAGGGCTGGCTGCCTTGTCTTCAGGGTGAATTCATGCCTCGTGGTGGTTGAGGCTAATTGAATAAAAATCCGCATTTCCCACCTCAATCCCAAATGTTGTCCAGTTTAGGGAAAATGCACTGGGCAGGGAGATGGTGGTTCTTCTGGGGTTTGAAGGGGACGGAGTGGGGTGAGGTGAGGAAACACAGATGAGAATTTGAAAAAATCCGAAATCGTCCTGGAATTCAGGAAACATTTCCCTGGAACTACCGGTCATCTTGCTGTCTTGAGGAAGTATTTCTTTCCACTTAAAATGCCCTGGAAGGACTTCTGAGACCCAGGGCAGTGCCGCACGAGGGCCGTGCATTTGGTAGTTTCTTACGGGCAGCAGTTTTGATTTCTTGTGACCTTACAGAGCCAGGAGGAGGGGATAGGAAAGGGTCATTGCTGAAGCTTTTGTTCCTATGGACTCTCATGGGTCTTCTTAAGTCGGAGAAAGCAGTTCTTGTTTTGGGTAATTTGTGGCCGTCCTGAAATAATACCTGATGTTGGCAAAATGCTCCCATGTGCAGTTTACCTCTTATAGTTAGTGCAGCAGGTGGGTAGAGGTGGGGTATCCCCCACAAGGGTACCGAGCCACAGAAAACTTAGGGGCCCAGCCAGAGGCCATATCGTGGTAGGCCGAGATGCACGTGCAATATGAAGAGGTGTGTCCACGCTTCATGATGCATGTGAATTTCTTACATTTTTCTCTTTTTTTTTTTTTTCAGATTTTTTAAATTGTTATTTATTTGAGAGTGAGCAAGCACACGAATTGGGGGGAGGGGCAGAGGGAGAAGCAGACTCCCTGCTGAGCAGGGAGCCCAATGCGGGACTCGATCCCAGGACCCTGGGATCATGACCTGAGCCAAAGGCAGATGGTTAACTGACTGAGCCACCCAGGCGCCCCTGAACTTCTTACATTTTTCATGAAATGACAAATTCCTCAGGTTCGTTTATTTTCAAACATCCAGTCAACTCAAAAAGACTTAAAAAATAGCAAAATTAACGAGCACACCCAAGTGCAGAAATTTAACAGCACTGTAATTCATGGATTTACTGTTTCTTTTTCCTTAATGAGGGCACTGTATAGACATGTGGATTCAGGCTCTCGGATTCAGATGCTTGGTTCTGTAAAGTGGTAATGGTCATCTTGCTGTCTTGAGGAAGAACTAAGGACTAAACACCTAGGACTAAGGAGTTTATAGTCAAGGGGAAGAAAGGCAGAGAGCTATTGGATGAGTATATACTTCATAAAGTTATTTAAGAATAAACATTACTGGGATGCCAGGGTCCTGGGATTGAGTCCCGCATTGGGCTCCCTGCTCAGTGGGGAGTCTGCTTCTCCCTCTGCCTGCCACTCCCCCTGCTTGTGCTCTCTTTCTGACAAATAAATAAAATCCTAAAAAAAAAAAAATAAACATTACCAGCTAACACTTGTGTCTTGGTTTGTAGTGTACTAAGTATTTCATGAATTTTCTGATTTAAATATGTGATTTAACATATGTCACGTGTATTTAAATATTTTAAAAATACAATATTTAACAACTAATATTATGTTTAGTAAATATTTATTTTTTTATTTTTTATTTATTTTATTTTTTTTAAAGATTTTATTTATTTATTTGAGAGAGAGAGAATGAGAGACAGAGAGCACGAGAGGGAAGAGGGTCAGAGGGAGAAGCAGACCCCCTGCTGAGCAGGGAGCCTGATGCGGGACTCGATCCCGGGACTCCAGGATCATGACCTGAGCCGAAGGCAGTCGCTTAACCAACTGAGCCACCCAGGC